GTGTGTTTTGTAAGATAATTCTATAATTTAAGTTTTTAAGATTGTTATCTAAGGAATTAATTTCTTTAAATGCATTGAGTCAAAGTGAGGGAGGGTGGCGCACTCTTAAAATTGTTTGGAAAAATATAAGACTCAAACTATGTGAAAGATGACCTAAAAATCTCCTAACCATTTAAATAGAAAGAAAAGGACCACATGAGTGTATGTAGAAATATTTCATTGATTAAACTATAAAAATGAAGAAAGATTAATAAATTTACATGAATGAAGATATATTATGGTTGATAATTTTCTTTTATAGTTGGAAAAAGAAAGTTAAGAAATAATCAATGAGACATAAAAATAACTATACACATCTCAATGGTTTGTATTCATTGCTAAGTAAGTGCCACTTTATAAATTATTATAAATTAGGTCTATAATTCAAGTTTTAGGATTAACACTCAAGAAAAATAATTCTTTAAATATACTAAGTCAATGTAAGGGATGCATCCTTAAAATTGCTTAAAGAAAAATTAGTCCCAAGGTGTATAGAGCTAACTAGATGTACCTTGATTGTAAATTAAAATAAAAAACTATTCTTTAATTCCTAACTTAGAATAAAATAATTACTTATGCCCTCTCTCCCCTTAGTTTGTTGTTTTTTTTTTTTTTTCAGCTTGAGTTACACAATAGGTGATAACTTTCACCTATCACTTAACTCACTTTACTTACATGTTATGCAAATTAAATTCAGTATTTCTTATTTCTGCTAATAAGAAATTACTATTAAATTACTTAAATTATTCACATCATTTAAACATTTTTATCTTATGTTGTTTTATGGTTTGGTCAATGAAAGATAGCTACAAGTTTTGATTTTTCGGGTCTTTTCTTTGATTATTTCCCATGTAGGTTTGCATTCTCTTTGAAATTCTGATATTTTCTTTAATATGAAAATGAAATGGATTGGAATTGAACATGGAAATAGAAGACTGGAAAAAGCTACATTTTCTATTCCACACCAATTAATCAAGCCATTTGAGGTCGAAAGTGTTTCTTTTTTCTTTCTCTCTCTTTTTTTTTTTGGGGGGGGGGGGGGGGGGTGTGAGGGTTTGGATTAGGATTCCTTCGGAGAGTCCCATCAATGGTTAAAAGAAAGTTAAAAACTAATCCATCAAATTGTTTGGAAAAATTATAAATTAAATTTATCAATGAACATGATTCATTTAAAATATTTATTGACGATAAATTTTTATAGCATGATATGACAATAATTTTATTGGTTATATTTATTCAATAAGATGCATAAATTGGTATTTACTCGCTTACTCAATATTGTCATTTGTCAATAAAAGTTCTTAACAAATTATTGTTGATTAATTAGATGACATCTTAAATCCCACTTTAAAATGGAAGTGTAATTGTGTCAAATATATAAACCACTAACTATTATTTTTTAAAGATATTGATTGGTATACTATGTAGTTTAATACGTTACAGAACACATTTATTTAAAAAGTTATTATTTTTTGGTTTAAAATTAAAAACAGATAAATTTAAAAATATAGTTATATATACAATATATAAGAATTAGTTAAATTAGTTGTATTTATATTATAGTTTAATGATTAAACTAGACATGTGTCAAAAAAATGTGTTGAATTGAAATATATACTAATCATTTTTTTATTTTTTTATTAGTAAATGACTAACTACTATTAATATACCCATTTCTCAAAAAAAAAAATAATAATAATAATAATAATTAAGGCTCACATGGATTTCAACTTTAAAAATTGACAATGCTATAATTATAAAATTACATAAGATTGTAAACTTATAATTCTAACATATCATCAAACAAATGAATGTATATAATATATTCTGTTAGATTCCTAAATGAACAGAGTTAATCATATAATAACACATTAAGATTGTCCACTTACAATGCCACTTAACAATGTAACTATATTTTTTCACTTAAAAAATTAAAAACTCAATGAAAATTTTAGTTATAATTAATAATTGAAATTTATTACAAATAATCCATATAAATTGGAATCTAAAAAATGTCTTAACTAGTAAGATATTAATAATTTAAATTGCAGGTTTCAGCTTTATATTGTTCCTTCTTTAATGTTGGATATAAAGGGACAAAAAAAAAATTTAATATGAGTATCTCTAATTATATAATTCCAAAAAAAAAAGAAAAAAAAGAAGAAGAAGAGTATATTAGCAAAAGAATGTTTAGGAAAGGGTGGTTGAAAGAGATACCCGTACAGGTATTGGAATCTTAATGGACATGGTCGATGCCTCAAAATTCCATCTTGGTTGCCTTCCTTAGTCCTAAATCTTTCAAAGGCACAATCCAAATGATTCTTGACCAATCTCATCAGATGACCCTTAAAAGTGGGTGTTGATTTGGAATTTTTTTTTTTCTCTTTGCTTGACTGAAATGCCTTCTTAATTTCACACTTATAAATGTTATCGTGTGGTTAAGTCAAATTGGCCAATTCAATCTTTTCTTTACCAATAATTCAACTCTCAAATTCTTAAACAAAAACCAATTTCCTTTTATAAATTAGGAGTAGGAAATCCATTGCCAATGTCCAAAAGAATTCTTTTGATGTTTTGTGGGTAGTGGCTTCACTGGCTTGGACAGTTGGATGTCCATTTTCCACCTTTTATTTTTCCGCTCTTTTTTCCAAAAGAATGCTTGAGATGGGTGCAAGAGTAATCATACATATACCATTTCTCCCAAAAAAAAAAAAAAAAAAA